TTAAAATTCTCCTCATTGCTCTCAGGTTAAGTAAAAATTTCTTAACAAGACCTACAGGGTCCTACATGATCTGGAAACTTCATGCCTCTCCAGGCTCTTGCCTTTCTTCCCCTCAAAACCCACTGGGCTTCTTTCAGTTTACCCTCCCACGTGCAAGTCCCTTCCTTAATCTTCTATATTCGTAATAACACTTCAAAGACCAGCTTAAAATCTCATTTCCTTCAGAAATCGTATTTTTTTCCTTTGGATGGCTTTTTCAAAATCTGTCTTCTTGATTGAATTTTCATCTTAATCATCTTTATATCTTCAGATCCTGGCACAATTCCTAAGCACCCATTCCATACAATACTTGGAATAAATTTTAGGAATGACTACAAATAATATAACTCTTTTTCAGATATGTTAGTTTTTTTCCCAGAAAAATAGGGATAATAATACTATTCATCTTATAGTCATGCGTACATGACATAAAGCAGCCATACAAAGGTTTAGCACATCAATACTAATAGTCAGTAAGGATTAACTGTTATTATTTATAGTTAAAATAACCATCTTTAATTATCCATATGATTATTTTAGAGATAGTGCCATGCTCAAATATTTTGCCATCAGAGAAGACAGCCACCAAGAAAAAGAATGTAGGGACTGAAGACTTGGGATAGAACTTGGAGAATCCGTATCTGCTGTTCTCATATTTGAGGGACATGTAGAAAAAAAGGAATTAGCGAAAGAAATAGGTAAAAGCAGATAAAAGACAGGTTAACTCCATCTCATGAACTATTGAATTCCCTTTGTAGTGACTAATCTTCTTTCTCTGATAATCAGATTGAATACTTAACACTAACAGAAGCCTTTGTATCCAAATCTGCCTAAGCAAGAAATCAAATTTCTCAAGATTTTTAAGTCAAAATAATGAATAATGATAAGGAAATTATAGTGACTTTCCTTCTGTGGCCAAGGAAGGCTTCTCAGAGGATATTCAACTTTAGCTAAATCATAAGGGGTGAGGACAATCCGTACAGAATAAAATTGTGGGGGTGAGAGGGATTTCAGATGATGAAACAGCATAAACAAGGGCTTTAGGTGGAAGATTCTCTTTGAGAACAGAGTAGATCAGCTTTATGGGTACCAGTAAGGACAAGTAGGAGATGATTTTAAAACAACACATTGAAGTTCAGGCATGAGCAAGATCAAATGCAGAGTAAGATGTTTAAATTTTATGTTATAGAAATTAATGGGTTTTCAGCTGAATAGTCATACAATGAAAGTAATATTTTGGTGAAAATGATATAGTAATGCTGTCCACGTGTTCAGAAGGGAAAAACCTTGTAAGAAGAGGTATCAGCTTAGAGGTAAATTCCATAGTTCTGGGAAGAGATCAGGTTATAAAAGCCTAAACTGGAGAGACAGGAGTGAGAATGAATAAGACCATTGTGAAATTACCAAGTAAAAGGCGAATGAGGAAAAATATATATTCTTTTGTATATTCTCTGATAAGAGATCAGAGAAAAAAGAGGTGTCAGAGATGATTTCTTGTTTCGAGCTTGAGCAACTTGGAGAAAAATAATGACATTTATGCAAACATGTGGGTGTGATGTTTTGTCACTGATGTTAAGCTGAATTGCCAAGGCACAGCTTCATAAGACTGCTGATTATCTCCTGGGAACAGTATCTCTGCTTATCACTCAGCTATCAATAGCTAATGTTGGCAGTTCCTTGGTATGAAAACAGGCAATCAAAAAAACAAGAGGGATCAGTCAGAAGTACAAGCTTAATATATTTCAACAAAGAATATTAATCATCAGTATTATGTTGAAACGAAATAGTTCTCTATAAAATTTAAACATGATTTGTAAAAACTATAGAAACATTTTTCCCTTTATTTATACAGCATAGATTTATTGGGTCCTTACATTATGCAAGGCATAGCGAGGAATGCACAAAATGTAAATATCATCTAAGTAACACAAGGTCCTTTGAGAGGTCAGAAATGGAAAAATCCACAAGTAAACTTCACAAGGTAGACGGTATTTGAATGTAGTCTTAAGGACATAAAAGACTGTGAAAAACTTAGGTGAAAAGGAGTGACTTTCAGCTAGCCTGGGATGGTATGGAAAAATGTTCATAGGCAGCAAAATACAAGGAGTTTGAGAGGAAGTGTCTAGCTTGGTGGGAATACAGGGCATACATAGAAGAAAAAAAGGATATAAATTGGGACCATGTTCTAAAAGCTACGAACGCCACGATAGGGCTTTGGGATTTTTAAATAGGGAATGAGGAGTTATTGCAGGTGTTCAGTTCTGATAAAATAATAATAAGTCAATACTCTGCACCAGGCACACATCAACCCTGCTACCAGTGAACGCTCATCCAATGAATGAATGCCTAAATGAGTTAGGTTACTATATTTACCATTATGGGGGATGTCAAGTTAAATAAATTGCTGGTGATGCTGTTAAAGAATTAACAGCATAGTTAAAGGAGGAAACAGATAACATATTCTCATATCCCCACAACACAAGATGGGATTTATGAAACAGACTATACTAGATGTTTAAAAACCACTTCAAGATCTTGATAACAGCCACTATTCACTGAGTCCTACTGTGAGGCAGGCACTATACAGGGTTCATAACGTGTTATCACGTCACTTTCCGAAAGCTCAAAACCCTTCAGCGTCTTCCTGTTGCTTCTTGTAGAAAAATAAGAACTCCTTACTGCTGCACACCCTACAGGACTTGGCCTGTATTCCCTCCTCCAACCTCATCACAGGAACAGTCTTCTCACACCCTACACTCCAGCCATCCAGGCATAGTGGCTCTTCAGAACATAAGAAATTCTTTCTTGTATCAGGGACTCTGCATTTGTTGTTTTTTTCTGCCAGAAGTGTTTTTCCTCAGATTCTTAGTGAACTGGCTGCTTCTCATCCTTCAAGTTTATATCTAAAATAATGCTATTTATTTACTTGTTGGTTATCTTTCCCCAAATATAGAAAGCATTTAGCACATAATAGAAACTCATAAGTATTTGTGGAATCAATGTATGTATGGATCATCTTCCTTTAACTCTTATAACAACTCAAGTCAGGAGCTACCTAGCTTAAAGATGAGGAAGCAGTGCTCAAAAATATTAAAGTAACTCACCCCAGGTCACCAAGGTCATAAGTGTTAGAGTACAGATTGGAAAATTATCTCAAAGTCTTTCCATTACTCTGCACCATCTTCCTGTATAAGGAAGGAGAAACTGATTCCAGATTTTGAGGCCTTCAAGGGAGCTGTAGCATTTGACCAGGAACTTTGATGGAGGACCTAAGAGGATGATCAAAGAACTAAAAGTGCAGATGTAGTCTGATCACTGAGTAGCTGAAATCTCTAAAGAAAGAGAACATCTGTGAACAAATAGTAGCCTTTGGATGATTCTTTTCAAATTAAAATTTTTTTCTTCTTCCTAGAATAATAATATTAAAATAGTTTTATATTACTTATCTCATTTAGTCCTTAAGACACTTTAAGATAGATGCTACTACTATTCTCTTTTACACCATGGAAATTGAAGATTAAAGGAAATGATAGAACTTGCCTCACTCATATGAATAGCAGGTAAGTAGCCGAGGAGAGATTTGATGGCAGGTCTATCTGCCTATCTTTTAACTTCAATTCAATAAGCATAAATTGTCATTTGTAGTCTTTTTTTCACTAGTTCCAAAAATTCTGGCATTTTTACAATCACCCCCATTTTGCCAAGAGACATTTTAATTCTATTCAACAATTATTTATTGATTGCCTATTATGTGGCAGATATTCTGCTAAGTGTCAGAAAACAGAATGATGAATAAGACCTACTATAGCACCTACTTAAAAGGATGAGCTTTTAATTTTAAGATTCAAATCTCTTTGGCATTTCATGAATATTTTCAGTTTAAACAACTTGGATATGAAATTTTCTGCTTCTCAGAATATATCCTGGAATATGTGTAGAGTTGGACAAGTATCTCCACAAGAAGATTTGGGGCATTTTACATATTTGCAGGTGAATGGTGTCTGTTCCAAAATAATAGATCTCTATTGGACCTTGCTGGGGATACTTATGTGTGGTAGTGGCAAGGATATACATACACACACACGCACACATATGCAGTCCACTCTCCCTATCCAAGGGTTCCACATCCTTGGATTCAACCTACGATAGTTGGGTCTGTACTGAACGTGTACAGACTTTCTTCTTGTCATTATTCCCTAAATAATACAGTATAACAACTATTTACATAACACTTAACGTGGTATTAGATTTTATAAGTCATTTAGAGATGATTTAAACTATGCAAGAGGATGTGTGTAGGTTATATGCAAATACTCTGTCATTTTATATAAGGGACTTGAGCATCCTCAGATTTTGGCATCTGGGGGGGTCCTGGAACCAATCCCCTGAGAATACCAAGGGACGACTGTATATGTATATTCTGTGGGGGGCATGTGAGTGGGTGAAGAGGGAGGTGTCATTTGGTGCATTTTGACAAACAAAAAGAAATACAAATTAGAACGAAAAGCAACATTGTGGGAAACAACAGAGGGAGGTATGGAGAATGGGTGTGGGTTGGTGGAAGCCAACCCAGAAAATTCTAGTTATTGTTCTGCCTATAGAAAGTACGTATTAGGTATTAAGGCCAAAGTAATGGAAAAAAATAAAGGAGGGGAAAAGAAAAAACATTTAAAATCACAAAATATCTCATTTGCGTTTTCACTTTGCCGTTTTTCAATAATCTCAAAATAAGGCTTTATCTCTGTTCTCTGTCAAGGCCAACCCTATTAACCTAGGAAAAAATAATTAAACCAAGCACGTGTTTCTGCATTTCAGAAAATGAACCCATGACCTGTCTGCTGTTTTGCATCAGATTAACTGGGTTTAGAAAAAAATTCAAATAATATGTGCATCTACCATCTGTATAAACGGTGTATGATTTGATTAAAGTAATCTAATGATATGCAAATTTATTTCCACAGGTTAACATTGACTTCAGTACCAAGGACCTCATCTCGAAGAATATTGCAGAACCAACTCTCAAATGTTTTGATGAGGCTCAGAAGTTGATCTACAGTCTCATGGTCAAGGATTCTTTTCCTCGATTTCTAAAGTCAGAGATCTATAAGAAACTTGTAAATAGCAAACAGGTTGGAAATCATAAAAAATGGCTCCCTTTCTTGTAAAGAAGGTTAATGACAAACTAATAATCAGGTTATAATTTGGGAGAAAACAAGTAATAGAAAATATCAACTCTTAGTCACCATACTTCAAGGCTAAAATATTCTAAATATACAATACAATATGTTTTTTTAGAGTTTAGAAAACATTTTTTTTTGCTCTAACAGAAAAATACTTTTTTGTATATGAAGTCTGAATTTCTAAATCATTTGTTTAGAATTTATTCATTTTATCAGGTACTTAATCTTCTACTGGGAGAGTACAAGGGGAGTTTATGGAGATATAATACACTCTTAAACCATAAGTAGATATTCTTACGATATTATGAATTCAAAGAATGATAGATCTTCATGTTGCTGACTGGGAGCCTGTTTAGCATCATACAGATGATTTTAAATACCATTTGCATTATTCAAAACCTCACTTCTGTAAAAAGAAAAATTCTGAACCAAAACATAACCCTCCATCTAGTGTATTCAATTATTTCTTTTCAACCAGAATCTGCTACATATAAATGTGGTGGTTGTCTAAACTGCTACAGCCCTCAGATTAATTAAAAAGAAAAACCGCAAGAATGTATGCATATTTATATATATATGTATATGTATATGTCTAATAACACCATTGATCATATTTTGTCAGAATATATCATTTGGTTTAATTCAATGGTGTCACATAGACATATATGGAAAAGAGCTTGGGGGTGGGGAAGATTGATGTTCTTAAATTAATAAGAATACAAAGGAAAGAGGAGGAATAAGGAGCATGGTTAAGTCCTTACATGATAAGGCATAAGTCCTCACATGCATGGCAGTGATTGTCCCATAATATAAAAAATTATTGCAACATTATCTACTCAAATAATTGTGGAGTTAAGTATCTATTCACTCATTCAGCACTGAAATTTGTTTATAAAACTCAAAGAAATGTTTTAAATGCATTTATTTTGAGATATTCCTAAAATGGTTTTTTTCTATATATAAATATCTTGTGATAAGTATGACTAATTTCACGTCAATATGAGAAGCTATAAAGATTCAACAGATTTTCCATGTTTCCATTTTATTTGAACAGATTTATTTATCTTTGTTGGTATCTCTACTTTGCAGGTTATTGGAACATTAAAAAATGGAGGAAAAATAGCATATTCTATGCTTCCACAAACTATTCATTTGATAGACAAAATTTTGTCTCCCCTTTGTCATGAAAAATAAACATTTAAACACATGCAAATGGAATATTCCCTACGCACTTGCAAATTCTTTAAAGGAAGGTGTCATGCAAACGGTTGTGAAGTATTCAGTGCACTTTCAAGTGCACTTAGTGGAAAATAGCCATATACTTTTCAACATTTATTCTGAGGTTCCAACCTTAATTTAGTCTCTATTTAAATAGGAAATTTTAAAATCATTCCCAGAGACGAAAAAGACTTTAAAAGATAGAAGGAAATTTAGAAATTAAAATAACATTCCTCCTTTTAGACATGAAAAAAACAAGATCTCAGTTATTTCTAAGTTCACACAGCTGGTGAGCGGCAGAGCTGGTAAGAACACGTGATTTTCCCACAGTGCCACGCCAGCTCCCTGTGAGCAGTGAGGTAGTCTCCTCCCCAGTTAGAACTGTGCTGATGCCTGAGAAGCTAAATTCCCACTAATCTTCAAATATTCAGGCACTGTTCCTTTCACTGAATGTTCAAAACTATCCTACAGTTTGCAACTTTCTTCTTGTTATCATAGAGTAAGACTTCATGTTTAATGATGGCCTCTCAAGTTTTCTCCAATGATACATAGGAAGCCACAAATCAAACTTTCACCACCTAGAAGCAGTAGATGACTGTCAGTGGGTAAAAATACAGTAGGTGTCAAAGTGATTCATTGAAAACTTTGATGTTAAATGACCTCCAATAGATCCCAACCAAAAACCCTCAATACTTTCCTCCCACCTCCTCAACTAGTTCCCAATCCCAAACCATAATAATAAGTTTTCTGATTCCACAGAAGGAAAACAATTGCAGGTTTGGGGAATAAAAACAATTTCAGGTTTTTGGAATACTTGGAAGTGAGGATTTTCAGCAAAATGTTAGCTGTATATCTTTCACACGTGGTTCTGCTTACGTCTCTTTCACTCCGTATGGTACTTTATTTCATCAGTTATCATGGATGAGTGATTTTAGGAATGGGATTTTTAAATAAAAAAGATTAACTAGCAAAAAATGAATAACAACATTAACATTCCTAGTAATGTATTTAAATATTCAATAATTATGTAATGCCTTTTTCTAAAACTATTTACATCAGATTTAAGAAGTGCTTACATTAAAAACTAAGCTATGCAATAAAACAGCAATAAAATTACAAGACATTGACATAGATATGATTTTCAAATTTTAAGAAGAGTTTTCCCAAGTGCAATGTTTTCCATTTTCTGAGTTCCTACAAAGCATATTTTAAAGCAATTTATGTTTGTCCTCCACTAGATCAGACCTAAAGAAATTAAATGATATATTTTTTAACAATCCAACATGGAGCTACAATCCATGAATTTATCTAAAATCCTTTTGAGTTCTTTTGAATATCAAACAGTAATAATTCATCAATAATGAGTACTGATTCCTATAAGTTTATGCAAATACACTTTCTTATATTTGCCTAGAAAGATCTATTTCAGCCTCAAAATATAATCAACAGATTTTTTTTACTAGTACTGTATTGTAAAAATCTAAAACCTCCAGGGCGTTACAAACATGAGCTAATGTCAAACTTTTTTTACCCAGATTTTTTTTTTAGTCTGTCTATGTATAGGAATTAGTTCTACTCACCCTCATTATTTTACTTTTCTCTAGAATTTTTCTAATTTTGTGTGGTGTGGTAACTATGTGTATCCATAGTATTCCTGACGAGAGTACATGTTGATATAATAAAAGCAGAGAAAAGTACTTTCTGTTCTCCTTCCAATATCCTTTTTTAACAAGAGTTACCATCATCCTGGCTTTTAAACAGTAGTAGCATTCTGGTCCATAACTTTGGAAAATAGTCTAGATTCCTTTCCTGGAATTTCAGGAAAAGTTCAGATCCATTATTCTGGACTTGAAATTTAGATTGAATTGACCTTCCTTTTGTTTAAATGGAAGATGATCAGCTAATCTTCACAACAACATAATTCAATGTCTGAACGTAAGCGACCAATATGAATCATGTTGGAAAACTAAAGAGATTCATTCTAAAAAAAAGAAAATTCTCTTTAAAAACAAAAACAGACAATTTGGTGTCAGTATCACTTAGTCTTCACACATTTATTTCCTATGTATAATTCTATCTCTAACCTTCACCCATACAATCTTCATATAACAGCTTCACCCCAATTATATCTAATGTGGGCCTGATTTGCTTCCCAACCACACAGTCCTGTAATTTATTTCATGGTGATGCCAATTAATTTAAAGTGAACTTGTTTCACAACTGTGAAAAAGGTGGGATGTTGTCACAGCAGTGAAGAAAAGGGATTTAACGAACGAGTCACTTGTTCTGTGTTTCTCTTACTGGTTTGTCAGATTTGCCATTGCATTTCAGTAGGGAAGCATCAGGAATGAATATTAAGTGATAACTATTTACTTTAGCTATGCCATCTCAGAGGAATTTTATATGTTTTATACAATTACTATTTACAGTGTGTATTTGAATATAAAATGCATAAGCATAATTAATTCTAATAATAATTGAACAGATATTGGTGTGTTTCCAAGTGTAACAGAAGATGGGAAAATAACAGTTTTTTAAATGAACTCATTTCTTTTAAGAAACCATATTATTTTTCCTCCTTATATTGTTTAAGATGCAAAAACAGGATTGGATGTCTAATAGAGAAAAAAAACAATGAAATTTAATCAGGTTGTTTAGCCATTGAATATTTATGCCTTGTATTATATCTAGATTAAAGTCAGCTATGAATATTTCTGAGAAAAGAAACTGTCTTGTTCAAGTCACAGTTTTTTCTTGGGTGATGATTGTTTAATTAACTATTCCTGGATATCTCACATAAAACATCATTTCACTGACTTATATGAATCAGTTAATTTCTTACAAATATGGTGTGGTTTCCTTTTTCTGATACTTTTATTCCTTTTCTGTGCTTTGGGAAATAAGTTGTAATATTCAGACAATTAATTTTATGAATGATGATGGCTTAGATATAAAATATAATATATGACTCTTTTTAAAAATTGATAAGAAAAATATTAAAGATTTCATAATGTAGGTATATTAAATATCTTGATTTTATTTCATATAGATTTTAATCAAAATGTCTTATTTTTAAAGTATCAGTTTGGTCCTTTAAAAAGTAAATATTTTTGTGTATGATGCCTTTGAATTATTGTTTTTGTTCTACTTTCCAAATATGTCATGTTTACCACAAAGACATAACCATTAATTCAAAATCATAAGACTAGTTTTCCTTACTCTTTATAAAGAGAAGAAATTGTAAATTCCTATTCCTTAGTAGGAAAATAGATTTTAACATTAATCATTCAGAGCAGTGTTTGTTTAATATCTGAACATGAATCTTTTATGGGATCATACAAAAATCCATTATTAAAAACCAAGAGTACTTCAAGGGAGTTTAAACGTTGAATTTATGATTGATTTACTAAAAATTTTCTTTTAAAGTATTGTTTATTGTCCAATAATCCTATAGATTTTTTTATAGGATTTTCTTTTTGTTAGAAGCAGTCTTTTAAAATGAGTGAATAAACCCCTAACACTAGAAGGTTAAAGATTGATTGGAAACTTCAAAACATGAGCCCTAACTGTGTTTTAAGTCAGATAAAAGCCATTTCCCCAAATGTAGTTTTTATCTTAAGTAGTAGAAGCCAATGGAGATGCGCAAGTACTATTACATAGTGGCTTTAAGTAAATTTAGAACTTTATTGAGAAATCTAAGTTACATGTGTATGTGAACTTATACATATATTCACTTAAGGAATTCTGTTTCTGTTGAAGTTTCTGCG